GAAGATGATCAGTATACTTATGAGAAAATTTCTTTGCAGTCCGTGAAGGCCTTTGAATGGCTTTCTTTGAATGATTTCTCTTCGTCAGGTACAAATTTCTTCCCATCTCTCTCTCTCTCTCATTTTTTATTTTTTATATTTTTCCTTTTCCCTTTGAATATTCTTATCATTTTGATTTACATGAAGTTCTATATGCAATTTTATTTTGGATATGCAACTTTTCGATGCTGGGGCAAATTTGTAACTATACTTACCCAACCATGACAAGATATGATTTTTTTCTTTACTTTTACACTCTGATCAGTCTGATTAATTGTTGTTCATGAGTAGGCTTGTGGATATTAATTTTACATGCTGTGATATAGAATGAGTAATCTGCTACCATGGAAGCATTTTTTTTGTGCACTCTGTTTCTATGAAATTGTAATCCTTTATAACTGCTCATGCAAGAAAACTATTTCCCTAATACAAATTAGCTTCGGTTCGGGAAGAAGAATTTATAAAGGGGTCTAATTTATAAATTGATAGAAATTAGTGCTGGATAAATGGATAGTACTTGAACATTCATTGGAATCGGTGGTTGAAAATGCAGTTTGATCATTTATAAATGATTTATAGATTTAACAATAATTGTTATAGTTATAACATTAGTCTCGCCAACACCTCTATGGGGATTGTCACAAGTATGAAGATACATTTTTACACTAGGATATTGCGTGAGGATATGTTCTCTACACTGAATAAGCTCGAAATCTGTATGCCCTTTTTTGATTTAGATAAAAAAATTGATTTTTAGAAAATTTTGATAAATGTTGATAAAATGTTTGGTTAAAAAGTTGTGGTTCTAACGAAATGCATGATTAGAAATGAATTTGAGGAAAATAAGTTTTAACAAATGGGGACCAAACAAGGACTAAGTATACATCCATTTATATCACCCTTGTGATGTGCTTGATGATTACTTTGACCATACTGGCTTGTAGTTCTTGTTGAATATGCCCTCTGTTTATATATATATATATATATACTCCCTTTACTATGTTGAACAATAAAAGTCATAAATAAGTTAAATGTGCATCATTAGACCTGGTTAAATAAATTGCTCCGATGTATATACTACCTGTTGGAGTTGATCTCTTTTGCTCTCTAAAATTTCAAATGCTATGGCCTGGAATGTTGGTTTCTTCGACAACCCATCAAATTTTTAAGCTCCATGATCTGAAGTTATGGTTTTCTATATGCGTTTAGATATGGAATATTGCCATTATATCTTTGTTAATTCATAAAATGATTCCCCTTTTTGGATGTGTAGACGAGTCCCCACCATCAATTGTAAGAGTTCCTGGTTCTAATGTCCCAAAATCACCCATATCTACCTTCATCACATCCAAAGGTTTGTTGTTTACTGGTTCTATTTCCTATCAAAATACCAAAAGAATCTATACTAAACTAATTGAACAGGAGAAGATAATAACAAGACGAAGACTGTTTCGGCAGAGAACCGGAAAAATGTAAGAGCTAGTTCAGTCCCACGTCCATGTGCTGTCTTATCCAGCCCAGGTTCGTGTGCCCGCCTGCTTAGATTTTGTTCGTATAGTATGTTTTACGCTTATTAATTGTTAATTGTTAAAAAACGGGATTTCTACAAAGTGAAATGCCTGTTATGTTATTTCTGAGAAGTCTTTAGATCTGATAGTACTTTTACATGCATTTTCTTTAGTCTGATCTATGTAAGCTGAGTTATGATGTTTAGGTCACTACATGTTTTTAGTGTTACCTTATTCAGTACCAAAATTTGTATCCTACACAGATACAAGTAATCTGCCAATTATACCATGAGGACTCCTCTTCACGTGCTAATAATTACATTCTCTTTCTGGGTTTTGGGATGGCTAACTCACCAGGTATACAAAGAGATAATTGAAAATGAACACGAGCAGTTTAAGGAGTTGTTTAATGGTTAAAATGACATTTTAACCAATCTTGAAGTCCTTGTGCTTTGGGACATCAAGATGTTTTTCTTTTTTAAACATTTATCGTCCTAGATTCTTGTACTATTCCTGAAAAAATTAGGTTGCCCAGTGGTTACGTAGTACAGTAGAGGAAAAAGCCTATTGATGATTGGTGATATAACAAATATGGACGATCTGCCAATTATGTTTACGTTTCACAGTATTTTCTCTCCCTGTAAATCCAGTCTCTGCCATGTAAGCAAATTCTGGATTTCGATAAAGAGATTTTTTTCGGAGAAGGTTTTATTTACGGGAGAAACATGGAGAAAAGCCTTATCAAATGTAATGAATCGTTATGATTCACTAGATTGTGAAGAAGATTTCATATTTGGTGATGCTACTGTTCGGTAGTGAATTCAATGACATTCTTTCTCAAGCGGACTTGTTTTGCTATCCTATCGTGTAGATAACTGCTGAAGAAGCTCACATCTAAAATTTCAAGTTATTGAACTTCATATCTTTCTATCATTTTCCAGAACTTGGGAAGTGTTTATCCGAGACAATTTCTAATGTCTTCGTAATTCTGCTCTTATAGAATTATTTTTCATTTTCCTTCAACACTGTTGATTTATTTTTTACGCGTCATTTCCCAGTGCTTAAATTACTTATTCTATCTTAAGAAAATCTCTATTTTGCTTTAGATAATGATGGGATCATTGGAAGCAAAACAAAGACTAGAAGAGAACTACATTCAAGTACAAAAGGCAATAATACAAGTCAAAATAGACAGACCCCACGTAAGGTGTTTCCAAGATCTACAGCTGCCGAAAGTTTTGGAAGCACGCTAATGAACAAGAAGGAAACACCCGAAAGAAAAAATGATCCTCCAGCAAAAGGAAGGGCTGTCCCAGCTGATTCAATCCTGAGATCAGGGCCTTTGAGAAGGAAACCCCAGTATCCAATTAAAATGAAGCTGATAAGTTGACTTGAAATGACTATTTTGCGTGATTCTTACTCACAGTCGAAGATTTTGAGATAATGAATTTTTTGAGCAAAAGGACAGCAACTGCTGATCGAAGTTGGACAGAAGAGTTTGTGCTTGAAAACTCTGAATCCATCTGAAGTGAAATAATTCAGTAAAAAGAGAGCAGACTTTTCTTGCATAATCCATTGTAGTAGCTTTTCACTTGTATAAAATGTGAGCTTTGTGCATGGAACTTGAGTTTAAGGTCTTCAAGGAACATGTAACGTTATCCTTCTGTTAAGTAATTTAACGGCATATGAATTTTTGAGTGAGAACTCTTTGGTATTGAGTATTTAGTTGGAACATAACTTATGCATAGTGAAAACTAGGGAGCAACAACCACATCCGGATTCAATCTATTTAGTTGGCAATTCGTCAGGCAGTCTGTACGGGATTTCTCTTCGGGGGGAATTTGTTCCTGGATCATGCTCTGGTAGTGCCGCTCTTACCCAGGTACTGCCATTTTTATTTTTTATTTTTTTGCCTTGTTTGGTTTTGATTACACTACAATGCTTAGCCTTCTTTTTCAAATGACTGTGAAGTACCTTGTTTAAATTCTTGAGCAATTTGTAAATGAAATCAGTTAGATATGTTATAAATCCATGTTTCGAATTTAATTTTTCAGACTTTTGCATCAATCAATGACTCTAATTGTATGACTAGTTCAAGAGAAACTTTTGTAAATTTTGTTATGTTATTAACTTTGCTAAAAGGAAGTATAGTGTTGAATCAATAAATATACTTTGCGAGTTGTTATGTATAGGCGAGTCATGCCTCCATCTAGATTGGTTAAAAGTCGTTATGAAAGTATACGTGGGCAAATGTTCAAAGCATGACTTTAAAGCCAATGAATGAAAGACACGCAAGTTAATGAATAAAATGTTATACTATATTAGAATCAGTTACAAGTTAACCAATAATAGGTTGTCATCTATTATTTACCCTAAATGATCAAATTATTCCAAAACCTTAAGGAAATCTATAAATACTCCCCCTAAGAGAAAATAATTATGTAAATTCAAATCTCTCTCTCTCAAATAGCCATTGCTTCTCTTGTTTTGGTTTAAACATCAAAACCACTGAGTTTAAGAGGCGAAAATCTTGGCTAGGTGAGAGGAATTTGTTGATTCGATTTTCATCGTAAACAGAGAAGATGTTTTTCGATATATTATTATTTTATTGGTAGAAATTTCCACATCTTGACCCCTTACTTCTGAACTGGCTCTCCTGCAACGTAATGTGTTGGATACAAAGATAGGTTGTCAGATCAAGGACATCGGCCTTAATATCTTAGCCGCAGGGATCGGGTAAGTAATCTCCATACTAAAACTGACTGATGGCACCCTTTTAAGCGAGAAAGGATAACGAAATAGAACGAGGGATCAATTTAAACCCAAATAAATGATCATTCAGTGTAACATAGAACACTCTCCTGTGTGAATTAGTTTAATTTTCAACTTGGAAATTTATCATTCAGCATTCCATCTTAGACAAAGTCTTCTTGTTCTAGATTTTCCACTGGTACTTTCACTTTCACATCCTCCACCTACCGTACGCCACCCGACCCACACAGCATAAAAGCTGTAGGGCCTTGATAACTTGCAAGACCAAACAACTTGCAAGCGATCTTGTATATTTATAGGAGAAGTATAGAAAACTGTCATTGTAAGTTCGTTTTCAAGAAATTTCATTGTTGAAGACATGCAATAAAAATGGTAAATAGATACTCTGCATGCAATACAAGTCAATTTGAAAGCTTCCTATGAAATTACACTGCAAATATTAGGTCCTACAAGCTTGAAAAACTGAGTATAGAGATTACATAAATGTCAAAAAATAATTAAGCTAACTGGTCTATAATGGAGTGCTCGAGCCATGACCACCCACCTGTTAATCTTCAATTTTCATTGTGTCCCAACCACATTTATGACTTCCCATTTGGGTCAATAACTCATGAAAGAGAACATTCTATTGACAATATAAATAGCAATCCAACTTCCCACATTTCTCACCACCAAACAATTTTAGCTATCTTTTTTCATATTATTCCATACTTGAGAAATCATCATGGGTGCCATCACTTATGATATGGAGATCACTTCATCAATCCCAGCCGGAAAGTTGTTCAAGTCGTTTATCCTCGACGCTGACAACCTCATCCCCAAGATCCTGCCTCAAGCTATCAAAAGTGTCGAAATCCTTAAGGGAGATGGTGGAGTCGGAACCATCAAGGTTATCACTTTTGGCGAAGGAAGCCAGTTCAAGGGCGTCAAGCACCGTGTTGATAATATTGACAAAGAAAATTTGACATATAGCTATAGCATCATCGAAGGGGATGCTCTGACGGACGTTCTGGAGTCGATCAATTACCATGTCAAAATTGTTCCGGCTGCTGATGGAGGATCTATCTGCAAGAACAGGAGCATTTACAACACCAAGGGTGATGCCGAGATTTCCGAGGAGAAGATCAAGGAAGGTAAAGAAAAGGCCATGGGAATTTTCAAGGCTGTCGAGGCTTATCTCCAAGCGAATCCCGATGCCTACAATTAAACGTGTTGCTGAAATTTACACTGCATAAAAAAATATATAGTTGGGTGATTTTTGTTTCCGAGAAATGTTGCATTAGCATTTTCTGCTGAATAAGATGTATTGTAGTACTGAAATGCTTCAATGCACTCTGGTTTGGATTCATATTTAAATTATCAATATAAGAGGATTTACTTCATTTTACAGTTCAAATCTGGGCAGGAGAAGACCAAGAAACCTTCTTAATTAAGGCCACAATATTTGGTTCTGTCTGATGTATCAAAACAGATATTGACAATTATATCAAGGGCGGAGCCACAAAAATATGTTAGAATGAGCTGAAAATTGAATTTTTTTCATAGATTCTCTTTGCCACTCGAGATTTAGTTTAAAAGTTTAAACTCTTGACACTAATGACAAAATGGGTTAAGATATATTTTAAAACATTTATGACAAAGTTCTAATAAACATATTTTTAACCGATAAAAGTAAATATGAAGCATATTACTTATTTTGATAATAACATCCATTTCGTGATCGAAATAAATATAACTCACCAATATAAATAAGGAACATATGAAAAAATACGTTAGAAAAAAATTAATTACTTTTAAGCTTAGTCAAACATGTGACATGTTACAATAAGTTATTTATCTTTATTTTAATCAATAAAAATTATTTCTAATATAATAAACTAATTTGATTATAAATGAACTATTTAAATTTGAATAATTGAACATTGGGCTTGGGTTGGGAATGAAGTTAATTGGGCTAAAATTAATTTTTGGGCTGGGCTAAATTTTCATTCTTCTTTGTTTCTCCAATAATTTGGGCTGAATTTTCCATTTTTCACAAGTTATTTGCTTTTGGGCTTGTACCCCAGCCCAGCCCCCTCTCCCTCCGCCTGACAAAAGAACAAGTTGATACATCACAAGCGACCAAACATGTTTGGTTAATGTTTTAAAGGGCAATGAATGTTCTCTGCTTGCAAATATAAAATGAAACTGTTCCTTAAAATCAAAAGCCACTAGGAAGAAGATGAATAGCAGTGAGAAAAATAGGATACAATTACTTGTGAAATTGGAAAAAGAAGCTTTACTCAATCTATTAGCAAAGTTGCAGTTTTAACATCTGGATGGAAAGTGTTTATTTAAATTGCTATATTGACCACATAAATAGCATCTATGCAGGTTCTCGAATAAATGATCGAGCATAACGATGCTGATTTACGAAATTTTTCAAGTGTTCGGTACTGTAGCTGAGTAATAGAGTAGTGAATAAAGTATGTTCCTTGAAGACTGTGTAATTAATCTAGTTCTAATTAATATTAATTAATATTAACTCCAATTGAATAGCCAATTTTTTAGTTGATTGATTTTATATTAATTATTTAACCTAATCTAGTGAGCAATTAAGAAGTGTTTGTAAAATTGATAGAATTGACGAACTAAGACTTTGAATCCTCCTTTATTAATCCATTTTAAAATAACTCAAGACCATGACAACACTTTTTTATTCTTGTTGATCAACGTTATTATTTTATTTAATAATATCTCTCAAGTAGAATTTGATATATCCTCACATGCGATCTTCTCATATCTCTATAGAAAATCCGAATAGGAAAAATGCTTTAAACACAAGAACATTCCATTTACGTCAAGCAAAGCATAATAGTATATATCTCTATTCTTTATCAGACCCTATAACAATTGCTATAAGTGTTATATTCATATAATAATTCTTTGGAATGAAATAAAAATAACAAAACCATCCAATCGATAACTAATTGATTGAAAAGTATTACACTTAAATTTTTTTTAGATAAGTTGACTTGAAATGACTAATTTGCATCTTACTAGCACTCAACGATTTTGAGATAATGAATTTTTTGAGCAAAACGACAGCAATAGCTGTTAGTAAAAAATTACAACAATGGAGAAAATAAAAGAAGAAGATGATGAATATAAAATTCGGTGAAGACTTGAACACGAAAATTAGTCGTTGTTCTAAAAGGATATTTGTCTCCTCCACAATGCTTTTAAGGATTTAATTGGCAAATAGTTTGCAGGATTAAACAAGCCTTTAATGATGAACACCAAAAGCAATGTGATCTTAAAAAATGAACAAGTGAAAATGGCTTTGAATATGGAGAGAAATTGAATTTGCAATAATTTTGGAATGAATAATGTAATCTCATATGCGGCTATGTGTTTTCTATATTTTCCATTGATCACCAACTTCCTATATATAGCCATCAACAATGCTGTACAAAGTGGTGCCAAATACCATTAAAAAGCCACCAAAATTTCAAACAAAACCAGTCACCAATGGCTAGATTTTTGTTCTATGCAGTCGCATAGTACAAATCTATGCGACCGCATAGTTTCATTTTTCTGCACCAAATTAATTCAAGTTATAATTGATTTCTAATTTTGTTCTCTCTTTCAAAATTCTGTTTTTTTTATTTTGCTAAAATAAAATTCTGTGTGAATTATTTTCAGAAATAAAATTTTGTTAGACTATTTTAATTTGTTCCGTTCAAGATGAATATTGTCAACACTTTGATTCAATCGACAAGGTTGGTGTAGTGGACTGCTTATTTTGGTAGAAATGTTACATCTTGGAAGATAAACATTCAATTATCATGTTGGCACCACTTCATGGATAGTGAAATATGTTTTAAAGAGATTTCTATAGCATACCTCGCTTCGTCTTCATTCTATTTCTTCTTTCTTTTGATTGTAATAGTCATTGATTTGACAACAGTTACATTGGCTAATTTTTTCGACTCATTATTATGTTACCAGTAGAAATTTCAATAACTTTACCCCTCACTTCTAAACTGGCTCTCTTACGCTCGAACGTATTGAAGACAAAGATAGTTGGCAAGTTAAAGACGTTGTCCTTAACACCTAGGCCACAAGGATTGGGGAAGTAATCTCCTTACAATAACTAATGGCACCCTTTTAAGTTAGAATGGATAATGAAATTGAACGAAGGATAGTCAAAAAACCCAAATTTGGCGTAACACAGAACATTCTCCTGTGTGAATTAGTTTAATATTCAACTTAGAAATTGATCATTCAACATTTTATCTTAAACAAGTCTTCTTATTGTAGATTTTCCACTGCCACTTCACTTTCCCATCCTCCGCTCCACCCCCACCCCACGCCACCCACACAGCATAAAAGCTGTAGGGCCTCGATAACTTGCAAGTTGCAAGACCAAACAACTTGCAAGTGATCGTATTTATACAAGAAGAATCGGTAATTGACTAGAAAATTAAGGTAGTGTTTGATTAGAGGTGGAATTTCATGGAAAATGAAATTAGAATTCCACCTTCCGATTTAACCTTGTTGGTAGCCATTTTTTTTTACCTAGAATTGAATTTTCATCTTTGGTGCCACACAAGCCAATTTCATAGCTCCTTGAATTCATGGAAATTGGCTTATGTGGCATCAATTGGAATTTCCGGTTATTGTAGCATTTTTTTAAAATTTTTTTTTAGTAATAGAAACAAATTCTAAGAATTATTATAAAAAAATATTTCCATTTAATTGACAATTTTCATATAAAACAAAGTTAAACGAACACCAAAAGATAGATTTTTTTTTTTTTTTTTTTGGGCAGTGGGAACAAATTTCATCCCCAATACCAGTAAATTATATCCCTTTATTTAACAATTTTCATGTAAAGCAAAGCCAAACGTACACCAAAAAATATTTTTATTTCAACATTTTTCACGTAAAAAATTATACCAATCAAACACAATAATTTACAATTCTCAAAAAAACAATTTCTAAGCAATTCGATTATCTGAAATTCGTTTTCTAGGCAATTCAATTTCATCTTTACAATCAAACAGACCCTAACTGTTATTGTAAGTTCGTGTTCACGATTTCGTTGTTGAAGACGTGCAATAAATCCTTCACTAATTTTATTATTAATAAAAAGTAAACGGTAAATAGAAACTCTAGATGCAGTACAAGTCAAATAGCAAGTCTACGATGTACTTCCTACGACATTAGAAGGCAAATTTTAGGTCCTACAAGTTATTAAAAAAAAAAAAAAAAAAAAAAAGAAAAATTTTGAGCCCAAAAAAAAAAAAAAAAAAAAAAAAAAAAAAAAAAAAAAAACACCGTATAGAGACTATAAATGTCAAGATATAACTCTGCAAGCTGGTCTATAATGGAATGGTAGATGTGTAATAATCAGGCCACGTCCACACCCTTATTAATCTTCTCATTTCATTGTGTCCCAACCACGTTCAAGACCTCCCATTTGGTCAATACTCAATAGTTCATATGAAAGAGAACTTTCTATCTACCAATATAAATAGCAATCCAACTTCCCACATTTCTCACAATTTCATCAATCCTTTTTCATACTATTCCATTCTTGAGAAATCATCATGGGTGCCATCACTTATGATATGGAGATCACTTCATCAATCCCGGCCGGAAAGTTGTTCAAGTCCATTATCCTCGACTCTGACAACCTCATCCCCAAGATCCTGCCTCAAGCCATCAAAAGTGTCGAAATCCTTGAGGGAGACGGTGAAGTCGGAACCATCAAGGTTATCACTTTTGGCGAAGGAAGCCAGTTCAAGAGTGTCAAGCACCGTGTTGAAAATATTGACAAAGAAAATTTGACATATAGCTACAGCATCATTGAAGGGGATGCTCTGATGGACGTTCTGGAGTCGATCAATTACCATGTCAAAATTGTTCCGGCTGCTGATGGAGGATCTATCTGCAAGAACAGGAGCATTTACAACACCAAGGGTGATGCCCAGATTTCCGAGGAGAAGATCAAGGAAGGTAAAGAGAAGGCCATGGGAATTTTCAAGACTGTAGAAGCTTATCTCCAAGCAAATCCCGATGCCTACAATTAAACATGTTGCTTAAATTTACACTGCCTAAAATATTATACAATTGAGTGATTTATGTTTCCTAGAAATGCTGCATTTGCATTTTCTGCAGAATAAGATCAGTGTTGTACTGAAAAGCTTCAAAGTACTCTTGGTTGAATTCGTATTTAAATAATTAATGGAAGAGGATTTACTTCATTTTAACTGTGTGATGGTTTGCTTCATCTTATGGATCCATAATGTTTAATCTGCCCGAGTGTAAAATCATCACTGCAAACAATCCAAACCGAATGAGTCTTTATTCATCCTTAAAATCTGGGGAGGAGAAGACCAAGAACTTTCATCACTTAACGCCACAATATTTGGTTTTATCTATCTGATGTATCGAAACAGAGATTAACAAAACTGAACAAGTTCATACATCACAAGCATACCCCATAATAAAGAAAAAAGATAATTCTATGAAAATACGAGTAGAATTTTTTTTTTATTAAAAAATAGATTGGTAAGTTTTAATGGTACACAAATTCTCTGCTTACAAATATAAAATGAAACTGTTGCATAAAATCAAAAGCCACTAGGAACACGATGAATAGCAGCGAGAAAAATACGAAACAATTACTTGTGAAATCGGAAAAACAAGCTGAACTCAATCTTTTTGCAAATTTACAGCTTTAATAGCTGGGAAAGTGTTTATTTAAATTGCTAAATTAATCACATGAATAGCATCCCTTTATTTTTATAAAGCAAAGCATCAACACAACCTTACTTAGTTTTTAGGTTCCACCAAGAATGGAGGTTAGGATTTCCCAACTATTTAATATATCGAAGGACATATACCTGACCTCCGAACATAAAAGAGTGCGACATATGAAGAGGTGAAATAAATGGGAGAGTTTTACTTCCCACACAAAGATGAAGCACGTAAAAGTCTCTAATGACCCTAAAGTTAGGAAGACCATGTCTGTATATCAAAAGAAGAGCAAGTATCCAGTGAGGAAGTAAGAGAGGAACATATTCTGATAACAGCGACGGTGCAAACCCTCAGACGCAAGTAAGCCAGCAACCTGGTTCCCTTCTCAGTTGATGTGGGATACTGAATATCAATCAAAAGAGAGGTGGTATCTGATGCGTCTTAAAATATCCTATATACTGCTCAACGTGCAAACATTCAAACCACTCCCATTATCAATCAAGACTGCACTTGCTGATAGGAAAGGAGAGAAAAACAAAGCAATGCCAAAAGCTCAGTCAATCCGCTGTTCATCGATAAACGCCCCATGGTCCTTCACCCCGAATAATTGAATGAACGGCCAACATCAAGTCTGTTTCCGCCTAGCATCTACGCAGTTCTCGTAAGAATGATCCAGCCTAATGATGCAATCACCATCGCCATACAAGGTTCCAGCATTATGTTAATCAAGTTATTTTCCAGGGACATAATGGTGGAGAGATCCATAAAGGAGGCTTCATTTTTCATCCCTGTCCTCATAAATGAAGTCAGTTTGGAAAACTCATTCATCCGTTATAGCATCTGACTTATACACACATATCTTACCTGTGCGATCAGCAGTCCCTTTGCTGAATCTTGTATGGGGCTGGACACAATAGGCCATCTAAGAGATTAAATTGTTATTTGAATTTAGTAGTCAGCCACAATATGATCATGAGATTGTCATTCCACTACCTTTGTTAGCCACACAATTTATATTAGGCCAAGAGGGGTCAATTGCCTTCTGCAATCAATAGTTTTCTTTTGTATTACACTTCCACTTCCTCGTGATGGCTGGACCATGACTTCTCTTTAGAGATTCTGATACTCATCAATACACATTCTTCAATATTCCAAAAAATAGATCATTTTCCACAGACAAATGTTCAAGCAACAGCTGCTTCAATATTAGCTACATGCCTTCTATAGATTCAGAGAATGAAGCAAAATCTGATTTCAAATGTTCTATCTCCATCTCCATATATATCAAGTCTATAACATGGGAGATGAACTTAAACTCAGGATGTGTTTTGTCCCCTGCAAGAAATACTTGGCCACCATCGTTTGACTCAATCCAACTACAGCCAGGCTGCTTTTTAACACCATTCTCTTTCATGCGAACCGATATCCTTTCTGCCTCATCTTTCCTCCCACTAGCCAGGTATATTTCGGCTAGAATCATATACACACCAGAGTTAGAAGGCTCTAATTCCAGAATCTTGTTCCCAGCAATCTCACCTATAGTGATGTTATCATGCATTCTACATGCTCCAAACAATGCTCCCCAAACACTTGCTGGAACTTCTAGTCCTAATACACCCATCTGATCCAAAATATTCATTGCCTCATCTATAAGTCCAAATCTACCCAACAGATCAACAATACAAGTATAATGCTCAGTTGTTGAGTGAAGAAAATACTCATTTTGCATAATATTAAAGTAATATTTACCATGTTCAACAAGGCCGGCATGGCCACATGCAGAAAGGACACCTACAAAAGTTATTTGATTAGGCTTCACATTTGATAATCTCATTTTCTCAAACATCTCTATAGCTTGTTCAGCATGCCCATGGTGAGCTAATCCACTAATTACAGAATTCCAAGAAATAACATCATGGCCGGACATGGAATAAAATTCAAGTACTGCAGAGTCCATTTTTCCACATCTAAAATACATGGTCACTAATGCATTACTAACAGGGATAAAGCAATTAATCCCCACCTTAATTACTTCTGCATGAATTTCTTTACCAAGGTTCAAGGACGAAAGGTTTGAACATATGGTAAGTAAACTTGTAAATGTAGCTTCATCCTGGAACATACCATCTTCTTTCATTTTGATGAACAATTTTATACTGTCCTCGCTACGATCATTTTCTCCCAATCCAAATAGTGGCATTCCATACAGTTGTGTCACGAACAGGCATCCATTCAAAAATTTTCAAGGCACTGTCAACGTTTCCATTATTAAAGTATTCAATCATCACATTCGTCAATGACACTATATTACTATATGAGTTTTTCTCTAGCAAGGCATGAGCTTCTTTCACCAAACCGTTCCTTACCAATCCCAACAATATTAAATTCCATAATCTTTCACATTTTTGAGGCATTTCATCGAAAAGCTTCATGGCATCAATTATCCTACCAACACTTACAAACCCATCCATCATTTCATTCCATGAGTTCCCATCTTTTTCAGGCATCTTATGAAACAAGACTTCCGCAATCTCAACAAGTCCAGTTTGCACGTAACCACTGATCATTGTATTCCAAGCTTGAACATCCTTTATAGGCATATTATCAAAACATTCCCTTGCTTCTTCAATTCGACCATCTCCCAAAAACCCCTTCATCATAATAGTACCAGATGCAACATCCCGCGTGCTCATCCCCCTAAACATTTGCTCAGCCTTACCAAACTCCTTAACTTTCACCAGTCCTGCAATAACCAAATTCCACGAAACAACATCTTTCATAGGCATCGCATTAAATATTCTCACTGCATCATCCATCAAATCATTATCAATGTATCCAGAAATCATTGAATTCCAAGTGACAATATCTGTGCACCCCATACAGTCAAAAATCTCTTCAGCCCCTTTAACATCCCCATATTGCATTAACCCACAGATCATAGTATTATACGAGAAAATATCCCGAACCGGCATTTGAATATACAAATCCATAGCTTGTTCAAAAAACCCATTTTGAAAATATCCTCTTATCATAGCATTATATGTGACTGTATTTCTTTGGGGCATTCCAAAGAACAGTTTCTGTGCTTCAGACACCAAGCCATCTTTCATTAAATTTGAGAGCTTTGAGTTGAATGGTTTTAAGCTGGAAAGCGTTTTCAATGTGCGAATTTTCAAGAAACGATTCAAAGAGACAGATTGAGTAAGTTTGAGGGCTTGAATGAACTTACAATTGAAACCCATACCCCCTTTACGTTGGAGGGAGGCTTTTGAAATGATCGAAAAATAATTGGACCATTACATACATGTCAAAGAAAATCAGACGATTTATACTAAAAATGATAATTTTATTTAGCCCTGTTTGGGCTTCATTTCAATGATAATTTGAAAAAATTTATGGCTTATATATATTGAATTCAAACCCCTACGACATAATCGTTCACTCACTATATACATCTGTGCATGTTTGGTTGGTGTTTAAATTATAATTCAAGTGATTATAAGTTGTAGATTCTGTAGAATATGTGATTTAATGTGAATATGGACAATAGTACCTCTACATTATTTTCGTTACTTTAGATTGTATAGTGAGACTAAAGTTTTATTCGACCCACATTCTTTCCAAAAAAAAAAAAAAAAAAAAAAAAAAAAAAAAAAAAACACCGTATAGAGACTATAAATGTCAAGATATAACTCTGCAAGCTGGTCTATAATGGAATGGTAGATGTGTAATAATCAGGCCACGTCCACACCCTTATTAATCTTCTCATTTCATTGTGTCCCAACCACGTTCAAGACCTCCCATTTTGGTCAATACTCAATAGTTCATATGAAAGAGAACTTTCTATCTACCAATATAAATAGCAATCCAACTTCCCACATTTCTCACAATTTCATCAATCCTTTTTCATACTATTCCATTCTTGAGAAATCATCATGGGTGCCATCACTTATGATATGGAGATCACTTCATCAATCCCGGCCGGAAAGTTGTTCAAGTCCATTATCCTCGACTCTGACAACCTCATCCCCAAGATCCTGCCTCAAGCCATCAAAAGTGTCGAAATCCTTGAGGGAGACGGTGGAGTCGGAACCATCAAGGTTATCACTTTTGGCGAAGGAAGCCAGTTCAAGAGCGTCAAGCACCGTGTTGAAAATATTGACAAGGAAAATTTGACATATAGCTACAGCATCATTGAAGGGGATGCTCTGATGGACGTTCTGGAGTCGATCAATTACCATGTCAAAATTGTTCCGGCTGCTGATGGAGGATCTATCTGCAAGAACAGGAGCATTTACAACACCAAGGGTGATGCCCAGATTTCCGAGGAGAAGATCAAGGAAGGTAAAGAGAAGGCCATGGGAATTTTCAAGACTGTAGAAGCTTATCTCCAAGCAAATCCCGATGCCTACAATTAAACATGTTGCTTAAATTTACACTGCCTAAAATATTATACAATTGAGTGATTTATGTTTCCTAGAAATGCTGCATTTGCATTTTCTGCAGAATAAGATCAGTGTTGTACTGAAAAGCTTCAAAGTACTCTTGGTTGAATTCGTATTTAAATAATTAATGGAAGAGGATTTACTTCATTTTAACTGTGTGATGGTTTGCTTCATCTTATGGATCCATAATGTTTAATCTGCCCGAGTGTAAAATCATCACTGCAAACAATCCAAACCGAATGAGTCTTTATTCATCCTTAAAATCTGGGGAGGAGAAGACCAAGAACTTTCATCACTTAACGCCACAATATTTGGTTTTATCTATCTGATGTATCGAAACAGAGATTAACAAAACTGAACAAGTTCATACATCACAAGCATACCCCATAATAAAGAAAAAAGATAATTCTATGAAAATACGAGTAGAATTTTTTTTTATTAAAAAATAGATTGGTAAGTTTTAATGGTACACAAATTCTCTGCTTTCAAATATAAAATGAAACTGTTGCATAAAATCAAAAGCCACTAGGAACACGATGAATAGCAGCGAGAAAAATACGAAACAATTACTTGTGAAATCGGAAAAACAAGCTGAACTCAATCTTTTTGCAAATTTACAGCTTTAATAGCTGGGAAAGTGTTTATTTAAATTGCTAAATTAATCACATGAATAGCATCCCTTTATTTTTATAAAGCAAAGCATCAACACAACCTTACTTAGTTTTTAGGTTCCACCAAGAATGGAGGTTAGGATTTCCCAACTATTTAATATATCGAAGGACATATACCTGACCTCCGAACATAAAAGAGTGCGACATATGAAGAGGTGAAATAAATGGGAGAGTTTTACTTCCCACACAAAGATGAAGCACGTAAAAGTCTCTAATGACCCTAAAGTTAGGAAGACCATGTCTGTATATCAAAAGAAGAGCAAGTATCCAGTGAGGAAGTAAGAGAGGAACATATTCTGATAACAGCGACGGTGCAAACCCTCAGACGCAAGTAAGCCAGCAACCTGGTTCCCTTCTCAGTTGATGTGGGATACTGAATATCAATCAAAAGAGAGGTGGTATCTGATGCGTCTTAAAATATCCTATATACTGCTCAACGTGCAAACATTCAAACCACTCCCATTATCAATCAAGACTGCACTTGCTGATAGGAAAGGAGAGAAAAACAAAGCAATGCCAAAAGCTCAGTCAATCCGCTGTTCATCGATAAACGCCCCATGGTCCTTCACCCCGAATAATTGAATGAACGGCCAACATCAAGTCTGTTTCCGCCTAGCATCTACGCAGTTCTCGTAAGAATGATCCAGCCTAATGATGCAATCACCATCGCCATACAAGGTTCCAGCATTATGTTAATCAAGTTATTTTCCAGGGACATAATGGTGGAGAGATCCATAAAGGAGGCTTCATTTTTCATCCCTGTCCTCATAAATGAAGTCAGTTTGGAAAACTCATTCATCCGTTATAGCATCTGACTTATACACACATATCTTACCTGTGCGATCAGCAGTCCCTTTGCTGAATCTTGTATGGGGCTGGACACAATAGGCCATCTAAGAGATTAAATTGTTATTTGAATTTAGTAGTCAGCCACAATATGATCATGAGATTGTCATTCCACTACCTTTGTTAGCCACACAATTTATATTAGGCCAAGAGGGGTCAATTGCCTTCTGCAATCAATAGTTTTCTTTTGTATTACACTTCCACTTCCTCGTGATGGCTGGACCATGACTTCTCTTTAGAGATTCTGATACTCATCAATACACATTCTTCAATATTCCAAAAAATAGATCATTTTCCACAGACAAATGTTCAAGCAACAGCTGCTTCAATATTAGCTACATGCCTTCTATAGATTCAGAGAATGAAGCAAAATCTGATTTCAAATGTTCTATCTCCATCTCCATATATATCAAGTCTATAACATGGGAGATGAACTTAAACTCAGGATGTGTTTTGTCCCCTGCAAGAAATACTTGGCCACCATCGTTTGACTCAATCCAACTACAGCCAGGCTGCTTTTTAACACCATTCTCTTTCATGCGAACCGATATCCTTTCTGCCTCATCTTTCCTCCCACTAGCCAGGTATATTTCGGCTAGAATCATATACACACCAGAGTTAGAAGGCTCTAATTCCAGAATCTTGTTCCCAGCAATCTCACCTATAGTGATGTTATCATGCATTCTACATGCTCCAAACAATGCTCCCCAAACACTTGCTGGAACTTCTAGTCCTAATACACCCATCTGATCCAAAATATTCATTGCCTCATCTATAAGTCCAAATCTACCCAACAGATCAACAATACAAGTATAATGCTCAGTTGTTGAGTGAAGAAAATACTCATTTTGCATAATATTAAAGTAATATTTACCATGTTCAACAAGGCCGGCATGGCCACATGCAGAAAGGACACCTACAAAAGTTATTTGATTAGGCTTCACATTTGATAATCTCATTTTCTCAAACATCTCTATAGCTTGTTCAGCATGCCCATGGTGAGCTAATCCACTAATTACAGAATTCCAAGAAATAACATCATGGCCGGACATGGAATAAAATTCAAGTACTGCAGAGTCCATTTTTCCACATCTAAAATACATGGTCACTAATGCATTACTAACAGGGATAAAGCAATTAATCCCCACCTTAATTACTTCTGCATGAATTTCTTTACCAAGGTTCAAGGACGAAAGGTTTGAACATATGGTAAGTAAACTTGTAAATGTAGCTTCATCCTGGAACATACCATCTTCTTTCATTTTGATGAACAATTTTATACTGTCCTCGCTACGATCATTTTCTCCCAATCCAAATATAGTGGCATTCCATACAGTTGTGTCACGAACAGGCATCCATTCAAAAATTTTCAAGGCACTGTCAACATTTCCATTATTAAAGTATCCAATCATCACATTCGTCAATGACACTATATTACTATATGAGTTTTTCTCTAGCAAGGCATGAGCTTCTTTCACCAAACCGTTCCTTACCAATCCCAACAATATTAAATTCCATAATCTTTCACATTTTTGAGGCATTTCATCGAAAAGCTTCATGGCATCAATTATCCTACCAACACTTACAAACCCATCCATCATTTCATTCCATGAGTTCCCATCTTTTTCAGGCATCTTATGAAACAAGACTTCCGCAATCTCAACAAGTCCAGTTTGCACGTAACCACTGATCATTGTATTCCAAGCTTGAACATCCTTTATAGGCATATTATCAAAACATTCCCTTGCTTCTTCAATTCGACCATCTCCCAAAAACCCCTTCATCATAATAGTACCAGATGCAACATCCCGCGTGCTCATCCCCCTAAACATTTGCTCAGCCTTACCAAACTCCTTAACTTTCACCAGTCCTGCAATAACCAAATTCCACGAAACAACATCTTTCATAGGCATCGCATTAAATATTCTCACTGCATCATCCATCAAATCATTATCAATGTATCCAGAAATCATTGAATTCCAAGTGACAATATCTGTGCACCCCATACAGTCAAAAATCTCTTCAGCCCCTTTAACATCCCCATATTGCATTAACCCACAGATCATAGTATTATACGAGAAAATATCCCGAACCGGCATTTGAATATACAAATCCATAGCTTGTTCAAAAAACCCATTTTGAAAATATCCTCTTATCATAGCATTATATGTGACTGTATTTCTTTGGGGCATTCCAAAGAACAGTTTCTGTGCTTCAGACACCAAGCCATCTTTCATTAAATTTGAGAGCTTTGAGTTGAATGGTTTTAAGCTGGAAAGCGTTTTCAATGTGCGAATTTTCAAGAAACGATTCAAAGAGACAGATTGAGTAAGTTTGAGGGCTTGAATGAACTTACAATTGAAACCCATACCCCCTTTACGTTGGAGGGAGGCTTTTGAAATGATCGAAAAATAATTGGACCATTACATACATGTCAAAGAAAATCAGACGATTTATACTAAAAATGATAATTTTATTTAGCCCTGTTTGGGCTTCATTTCAATGATAATTTGAAAAAATTTATGGCTTATATATATTGAATTCAAACCCCTACGACATAATCGTTCACTCACTATATACATCTGTGCATGTTTGGTTGGTGTTTAAATTATAATTCAAGTGATTATAAGTTGTAGATTCTGTGGAATATGTGATTTAATGTGAATATGGACAATAGTGCCTCTACATTATTTTCGTTACTTTAGATTGTATAGTGAGACTAAAGTTTTATTCGACCCACATTCTTTCAAAATAAAAAATATATTCTTAAACAGTGATTTAACATTATTTCATTTACATACTCTTCAATAAAATAATATTAAATACAAATTCAAAATTTCTCTTTATGTTTTCTTAAAATTCTTGCCAATACATTGTTATACATAATTGTTGATTCAAAAAATTCATATATTTGCGTCCTTTAAATGTACTAAGATTTAGTCTTTTGAAATTGCATATAGCAGTTTTGCTTTATAAACGAGTCTAAGAACGTGTTTTCCTAGAGATTGGGAGGTACTACTTATAAGTTACCTTTACTACAAAACATTGGTCCACTGTTTAAAGTTACAATACAAGATTATGAAATAAGTGATAAGTTTTATAAAAAATTAATTGTTTAATTGGCATGGATAAATTGATTACTTAATTGGTTTAAATGAATTTTGATCAATTATTTAAGTGGGATTCTTTAGTCAAATATGAGAGTTCTTTGGCTGAATGTGTTGTACTCCATGAGTAGATTATCATAGTATATTTACTTGCTCGAAAGTAATTTCGAGTGAATGATGAATTAAGATAAAAAAAAAAATAGCTGCTTGAAACTTGAAAGATGAAATCCGATAAATAATTGAAAATTAGAAAATTTTTTTATCCCACATATGAAGATGAAGGGACATTTAACCATTTTGTGTAGTTAAAATTATAATATTCTTCTGGAATATTAATTATAATATTGTGCTATTTTTGGAACAATAAGATGATAAATTCTTAATTTGAAGTTCATAGAATAATATCTAAAAATATTTAATTACCATATAGACATAATATGAATTTATATAGAAGCATTAATTACCGAACATGCATTAAGAAAATGAATCTTCATACATAGAAGTTAACAAAATTGGCTAAATTCAACTTGTTGATCTCAAGAATTTATTGAAAAGTAAAGATAGCCTTAAAAAGCAAGAATTACATAATATTTCTTTTTTCTTGTTACTCTTCCTAACTACTTTTATAGAGACAATGTGAAAGACATGTTACACTTAGATGATAATATTGAAGAGTAAACATACTGTATATCAAATATGAAAGGTTGAGGCTCCTCAAGGGGTGGTCGAGTTGGTGGAATAGGTGAGGGTGGAGGTCTTTGGTCATGAGTTCGATTCCTTCTACCAATACTTTCTTGGTCAAGCCTGTTGCATAGGACTTGTCCAGTGCGATGTACTTGGTTGGCGTGATTTGCAGGTTGTTATTTCAGCCTGAAAATTTACTCAGGACACATCCGAAGAGTAACAGCTGCGAGTTCTCCCGTCATAAAAAATAATAATAGTAATAGTAATAATAATAAAATAAAATATGAAAGGTCGCGGATCTAAATTTCCAACTAAAAATCATAAAGATCGAAAATCTGTAAACCCGAAATTTTTTTATTCGAATTTGAAATCGAAATGCAAGCTAAAGTAAAATTTTCATCTATGGTTAAACAGCAAATGTGGCCAAGAATGCACCATGCCACAAAAGTGAAGCCTCTGTTCCACTTAAAAGCCAGAAACTAAAAATTGAAACCTTATCCCCCATATATCTCTTCCAATCTCATTGGACTAAATCTCCCCACATCAGCACACAAAATCCCATATCCCCATACCTCATTCTGTGGCCTTTTCTTGCATATGATCTGATCATCTAACATCGACACAGTTGACAGTTCCACCCCATAACCACCATTGAAATGGCTGCAACTGCTGCTGCGGCTGTAGCCGCCTCATTTTCGACCTCCATGCAAAGCCTGAAATGTTTAACCTCCTCAAAAAGTTGGGCTTGTGATCATTTTGTAAAAGTATCATCCAATAGAATTTTACAACCTGCATCAATAGCTCACTCTCTTTGGATTGAATTAAATCCCATTGGTGCTATATGTGGGAAGTCGAGGGTGCCTCGATTAACGGCTGCTGTGGCACAAGAAGAGGCGGTCGAGGCAGCTCCGGTGGAGGAGGGGGAGGAGAAGGCTGAAAATGGAGAGACAAATGAAGGAGAGGCTGCTGAAACTGCTACTGCGAACCCTAAGCTTTACATTGGAAATTTGCCTTATCTTTTTGATAGTGCTCAACTTGCTGGAATTATTCAAGAATATGCTAGTCCAGAGCTGGTTGAGGTTGGTAAATTTACTGTCTTGTTGCAAAATAAGCATTCACAACATACTAAAGTTTGAAATATTTGATCATGAAAATTGAATATGATGAATGCTGACAGCAATTTGATTACCGATTCGTTATTAAATTCTTATTGATTCGAGGTATTTATGCAGTTCATCTTTCATCCCAAATTGTCTATTTTATGCGTAAAAATTTCGAACGAATTTAGGACATAAATAAAAGTATACTTCAGTGTGATTATGAAATATGCCTCAGGAATTTCAAGATTCGATATCAAAGTAGCAGCTACAATTTACATAAGAAGAAGCTGATCAAGTAGTACTCTTTGTCATGTTGTCTATGACAACGTTCTATTTCTTCACAAATTAAGGTAATGTCATTGGTTCCTAATACACGCAAGTTTTTTTAGGTTCTCTACGATAGGGATACCGGAAAAAGCAGAGGATTTGCATTTGTGACCATGAGCAGCATCGAGGATTGCCACAAAGTCATCAAAAATTTAGATGGAAGTGTAAGAATCTTATCCGACTGTCCATATCCGGTTCACTCTTTTAAATCTCTTTAGGAATTACCTCTTGGAAATGTTTCTGATGTGAACATTATTTACTTGTTTCGTTACAGGAATATGGCGGTCGAACCTTAAGGGTGAATTTCTCCGACAAACCTAAACCAAAAGAGCCCTTGTATCCAGAAACTGATTATAAACTTTTTGTGGGAAATCTAGCCTGGTCAGTCACATCAGAAAGTTTGACACGGGCATTTCAAGAATATGGAAATGTCGTTGGAGCGAGAGTTCTATATGATGGTGAATCAGGAAGGTCTCGTGGCTATGGATTCGTATGCTATGACACTAAAGCTGAGATGGAAACTGCACTCCAAGCCCTCAATGGAGTGGTATGAATTCGTCTTGAAACTCATTATGCGCATATTCATCATCGCCAAAAGAATTTCACTAATTTGCTATGCTAGATGTTAAATTATATCTGCATTTCTTGATTCTTCAGGAATTAGAGGGGCGTGTAATGCGTGTTAGCCTAGCGCAAGGGAAGAAACAATAAGATGAAGGGAAGATTAGTGCACATTCGTTGAACGTCTAGAATACGATTGATTAGAGAAACGGAAAATTATAAGGATCTGCCTCTGCTGCAAATGCAACTAGTTGATACAGGAATGCTTTTGATTTCTTGTTTTACTGATACTTGATTTTTCTGCAGAACCACTTTGTAAGGAAATTTCAGGTACATGTATTCCCTTTGTTTGAGCCTGGAGGTAATCCAATTTTGTGTTGGATGTCAACATATATTGTTTAATGTTTTTTTTCTCCATAAAGGTTCTTGTTCATAAGAGTAATGTGATTTCAATATAATATGTTAAAAAAGAAAGGAGCGCACCAAATATAACATGGCAAGTTCATTGTTACTAAGAATCGATTTGATTTCTAGCAAGAAACTGAAGAGTGGTAGGAGTAGACGATATATATAACTTGACATGCCATAGTTGCTAAGAATTTCGTTACTTTAGATACTTCTATAGACTTAGAAATGAAGTGCGCAAAATGGTGGAATAAGATTGTGTAATTGACCTCAAATTTATGGAGGAAAAGTACGGCTTTTTGTTGTATTCTAGAATTCCCTTTGTAGGGTTCATTCGTTGAAGTCTAATCTTAAGTACATTCTTGCCGTGAAATTAGCCCTAATTTGAGCAACGTTATTTCCATAATAATGCATTTTTGAATAGTGCATTGATAGGAAATGTGTGATTAAAAAATAAGGAAAAATTTTAAATTTGTGTGTAATATTATTTTATTGAAGAGGGTGTGGTTGAAATGATGTCAAATCACCGTTTAAAGATGTTTTTTTTTTTGAAAGAACGTGGGTCAAAAAAGACCTTAGTCTCACTATACAATCTAAAATAATGATAATAATGTAGAGGTACTCTATCCATATTCACATATTCCATGCAATCCACAACTTATAATCACTTGAATTATAATTTAAACACCAACAAAACATGCATGGATGTATATAGTGAGTGAATGATTATGTCATTGGGGTTTGAATTCAATATATATAAGCCATAGATTTCTTCGAAAACCATATATAATAAAGTGCATAAACAAAGCCTGTTTGGGAGTGATTTTGAGAATTGATTTTTTGACCATTAAGAAAAAATTGGGGTTCACCTGTGAGAAAAGAAGTCAAATATGACGATTGAAATAGTGAAATAACGGTCAAAAAATCAATTTTTTGGGACAAAAAATCGCTCCCAAACAAGCTGACAATATGTTGCAAATTTTGATTTAGATGTCTCATCCTCCGTAACTTATTTCAAAATAGTTAATTTTGAAGATCATACGTTAAACATGTCTTTATTACCAAAGTCGAATGACCAAACTCACCACTAAATTTTGTGCAAAAGATAGCAGAGTTTCCAATCCTTTTCTTATGGCTCAAAGGTAAGAATCCCTATTAAACAAAGAGTTCTTTAAGAAATTTTACATCAAACAAATGTATTTGCATTAATTCCCAAGAAAAAAAAATGGATCAGACTTACAAGAAAAATAAATATACTCGAAAACAATTGATTCCTCTTTATCAAAATTAACAAATATAAACGTTATTAAAAATCAAAATAAACAAGCCCATTTGATTTTCTTTAACTTGGAAAAAAAAAAGAGTTTTGAATAATATTTGTAGAAGAATGTGTGGTTAAAAAGTATAAGAAATTTGATATTATACGTGTAAAATATTTTATTGTGTGAATGTGAGGTTGAAAATATTTTATAGCAAATTATAAAATAAATTAATTGGTGTCAAATAGGCAGATGAAGAGAATGATCAATCATTTGGTAAAAATGTCATTTAATTTAATATAAATCCATTTGTTATATATTATATGGATTTTTTACTAGTCATTTTCATAAAATGGAAACTTGGTGGTGGGTTTTGACAAAAAATAATATTCAATGTCTAGAAGGAATTTAAAATTTTGTTATCATACGTTGAAGAGATGTCAAATGTATTTCTTAAGTCTCAATCAGATACTCTTACATCGATAATAAACACTGATTTATCAAGAATATACAAGAAAAACACTTTAAATTATTAGTTTTTGACACATTTTTCGACAAGATAAACTAATAGAGATGTTATATTAGAAAAAGTAAAGATGCTATGAATTACTCTAAACTTAATCTCTGTTGTTGTGTGACACTATGAACTTACAAAGTAGTCTTGACCATATGTCAAATTCAGTAGTTGCACAGGGTAAGTGAAACTAACACAAGATAAATTCAGAGATTAATTATGCACATAAAACATCTTGTAATAATGAAAATTGTTCTCCTACTCACAGTGGACAGAATAAGACTGTTCACACGCCAAAGTAGAAGACCTTACTTACGATTCTCTCCAAATGCGAGGATCATAAATACGATTCTCTCCAAGTGGACAATATAAGATTTTTCATCGTGGGCATGAGAACATTTCTACTTATAATAAATAGTAGTTTATGAATGTATGATTGAAATAATGTTTGACTTTGATTGAATTTATAATTTTATTTTCAAACGGAGACATAATAATATAAATATGTAAGTACTTGATCAAGGGACTCTCTAAATACAAGATATTTTATATATCAAACAACTAATACTTAAAATTAAGTTTCAAGAGATTATCTATTTTAATTTTTCAAAATAGAGGGTGGCTTTGCTCTTCAAATTGAAAAGTAAAATCCACTCTATAATAGTTACACGCTCCTAATTTAGTCCCATTTTCTAAACATTTATTTTTTCTTCAAACACATTTTCGATTAAATATTCTTTTAATAAAATAATTTTACGTGTAAACTTATATTTTCTTTACTTTTTTATTGATAAATTCTCTAAAAATTACTATTACAAAACTCATTTTCACAACAAAATAGGCCCCTGTTTGAGCATCATTACATTAAATTTCATTATATTTTTTTATCTCCTATTTTCAACCACACACTTCCATAAAATAATATTACACGTAAATCAAAAATTTTTCATTTTTTTTCAACCACTTATTTTTCAAAAAAATACTATTCTATCCATTAATTTTTTCTCGTAATGGGGGTCAAACAGGGGTTAGGTGTCAAAGAAGGGCTTAATAATAAATAGTTTATTATTTTATTTTATCAAAATGTTACAAAATTCTCGATAAATCAAATAGGTTATATACACTTCACGTTTACATTACGTATCGTTATACTTGACGCCGAAAAACATCATCACCTAACTGCGCACACCTCAAAACCAGTGGTCTTAATGTCGAGACGGAATCCGCACACAAAACCCATAAAGAAAAGGATTATACCATAGTGATAGTGTACACACAGTCGCATGTCAATTACGTCTTACTTTCTTACTTTAATATTGATTTTACAATTAGTACTGGAAGTACGGGTTGCTATTATTGATGTGGACTAATGTGAAAATGGTGAAACTGAATCTGGGTTTGGATTGATATCTTTTATTTTCGTCTATAGATCTTGGATTTTACGTTTCCAGATCTGGTATTTGCCTAATAAATTTGGGTTTTTTCCCTTTGGGGTTTAGTTATTACGCTCCTTTCAATGGCTACCGCTTTTCCTCTGCCTGTCACTGCTGCCCAGGTAATTTCGCAATTTCTGGACCTGTAAACGCATACGTATACCTGCTTCGGGGGTCTTGCATATGTATTTGTATGTGTATGTAAACTGTATTGGTGTTTTATTTGTGCAGATTATGTTGTGATGTATTGATGGCTTTAATTAAAGGGTACATTTTTATTTTGATGTAATTATTATGTGTATATACGTATACATAAATACACACACAATACATGTTAATGTGTATGTTTGTATTTGGAATATGGTTACTGGCGCCGCCTGAGCATATCTGACTATTTATTGCACCATTCGACATAAGAAACAGTGTAGTCTGAAATGCATTGCGGTAATGTATGTACATAGAGATTCTGTATGTACACGTTTACACGGATTATTTGTATGTGTATGTTTGTCTATATTTATTAATAATGATGATTATACCTCAAAGAGTCATAGAAGGAATTTATTCAGGGACTAGTGAAAGGAAATGAAAAAATCATTCTTTGGACACTCTCCTAAACAAGATCTTCCTTTGTTAATCTATCAATTCTTAATAACAAAATGTCAATCGAGTTCAAACATAAAAGAATTCTTGTTCTGAACCACTACTAATACTCTTAAACAACGATGGTGGAGCAGTTTTTGATATTTCTCTTAGACCCATTCATTCTCAATTTAGCCTCTAAGGAAATTGAAGAGGAATAGAGAAAAGATGAAGGAAAACATATGCCCTTGTTAACTAGCTCTATCAATGGATTGGATTTGGATCCGAATCCGATGAAATTAATGTGAGATTGATTTAGGGTTTCAGTCCAATAATATGATAATATAGCAAATCGGATATGAATTTAAGAATCAAATATTCGTTGGATTATCAAATCAGATCGGATTCATGAATTAATCTTATTGGATCGGATCCTATTCATGAATTATTCTCATCGGATTGGATCAGGTCCATATCTGGTCCATTTACAGCTCTACTATTAATCGGTTGGCGAGCCATTTTTGAAGAGGAGTGAATGTGAGTAATTGACTTATGAAGTTAGACTTATGAGTATCTATAGAAATACAGAATAATGATCAGAGGGAGAAAGGAAAGTAAAACTATTATGCATACCCTAGTTCACATCATTTTGTTTCTCTTAAGTGGAAGAACACTGTCAAGTTGACCCTATGATTTCTTTTGTTGGGTGCAAGGATAACTCGACCGTATCTCATCATGAACTTGGGAATCTACTACACGGGGTTGAGTTATCCTCCCCGACGACTGAAAGATGTTCTGTTTTATGGCCAATGTGCAGGTATATTTGTCTTAATAATTCTAATAACTAATGCAAACCCAAAATTTGTTTAGTGATGAAACATGTGAATCTGCAGATGGCTTTTCTCTGATCTCATCATGGATATTGCTGAGTAACACTATCTGTAGATCGTGTAGTCTTAAAACTTGTGAATGAAATCAATCGTGTGATCCCATTAGAACATATCTTTTATGTAAAAGGTCTTTTTAGTGGTATAATATAGTATTATTTATTATGGAGAAGCCTTTTGAACTAAAATTTGGAATGAGGCCATTATTCATTCTACCCTCAAATGAAGTCTAATTTGCCAATGTATCACACTACACATATCCTGATAATTTTTTCCCTTTCTTATTAATGCCTGTTTCTATTTTCATTTGAATGATTCTACTGCCTGGGATTATAATATTGCTAAAGCGACATAGAAATTGTCAGGCCTGTCGTACACTAGCTAGTCGCTTTAATTAATTTCATATAATGTTGTTTATGTGTACTTCTTATTATATACACAGAATGTGAACATTTATATGCATTAATTCCTCTGGTCTTATGCATTTTCTGCATCTACATTTTTTCATCTATTGCTATTTGCTACAATAACAAAACTGACACAGAATTATTTATGGAATTTCTGTTTTTGTAAGCACGTATTAGTGAGTGCAATTGGGGGTTGTTTGTTCTTAGTTTCATTGTTTTGTTTAGATGGGGACATACTTTGTCGGGCGGTACTACCAGCTACTACAGAACCAGCCGGATTTTGTGCACCAATTTTACAGTGATGCCAGCACCATGCTTCGAATCGATAGCAACACCAGAGAGACAGCAACTGCTATGCTGGTATTTTATATGAAATCACTTGTTCCTGATGGGTCGGGCTCATTGTGAATTGAAGTTTAGATTTAATACTAACAGATATAAAATAAAAAGTGGAAGTATTGTAATAAAGGAAGAAATGGGAACTTTGCTTCAACAGGCTATTAAGCCTCCAAATTTTGCATACAGAATGATAAATTTTAAAGTTGTTACTGATTACGTTGTGTGTTGTATCTGATCTAGCTTTGGAATAGAATGATGTTTTTCATCCGGTCATATAATGATGGGAACTCCAATTCATTTGTTATGTGTATGAGCATATGACACTTATCTCTTTCTCCTCTAAGCACTTGTGTGTCCAGTTTTGGTTTTTAATTGCTAGAACTGACCAACGAATGAATATTATGAACTTTGAAACCAGTGGTTAGCTGCTGGAAGCTGTGATCATGTTCATCTTTGGTTCTCTGATCTGCTGGTTGCAATCGTACCTTAGAAGTTTGTAGTTTTCTTTGTCAAAGTTGTAATATTGAAAGCAGTGCACCGCTTCTCTTTTCGGTTACTTAATTCTCATTAATGCTTAATCCTGGGTCCCAGCACTTGTACCTTTTTTGTTCTGTTTGTGTATGATTTCATTAATTTCCTTTTATCTTTGTTTTCTTGGCTTGTATAGTTAGATAAGATGCATGTTTTGAATTCTCCTTTGCAGCAAATCCACCAACTTATTATGTCACTCAACTATACGGGTATCGAAATTAAGACTGCACATTCTTTAGAATCTTGGAATGGTGGTGTTCTAGTGATGGTTTCGGGTTCTGTATATGTAAAGGATTTCAGTGGGAGGAGGAAGTTTGTGCAAACATTCTTTCTTGCACCTCAGGAGAAAGGCTACTTTGTTCTCAATGATATCTTTCACTATGTTGAGGAAGAACAGATTCCCCAGCATCCCGTAGGATATCTGCCTCAGAGCAATCTTGATCCCAAACTCAATGCTTCAACTGCAGTTCGGGACCAAGGTTATTTTGTTACCAGAATTACCTGAGAATTGATTTCACTAGCTGTACTTGTTGATTCTCATGTTTGGTTTTAAGTTATGAAGAATCTCATATAAGTTGCCTAGTGGACTTATGGTGCTTAAACATGTAAATTGTTGCAAGTAAAAGTAATATTAGCATCCGAAGTTTTAGAATAATAAAATTTGAAGGGTAATAAATTCATAAAACATTGTAGAATTGATTTCATTTGCTTTCAGAAACTACACAAAGACTATAATGCAGAAGAAAGATGAACAAGGCAGTCTTCTTTAGGATGGAGGCAGTACAATTTAAAACTATGTGTCCTTCAACTGAAACATGACATCAAGATCTGGATCACAAGTGATATCAATTTTTCATTCATCAAAGGAACGTACTGTCTCTGAACGACTTAATAGTGCTACTATCTGTATCTAATTCACTGTATCTTCATGACTTAATTCACATGTAGATATTGCAAAAGGTACTTTATCTGATTTTTGGATTTCAACAACTGCTTTTGCAGTACCCAATTACATGCTGGGTGGGGATTTCCAACCTAGGGAGTTCATGGCTCCAGCTAAGATTGAAGAGAATGGTCCAGTCAATAGCTATACCTATCCAGAGGAACAGCTTCATCAAGTCCCTGAAACTGAAAAGATCCTTGAAGATAATTTTGCTGTGCAGTCGAACGGTTCACTTCAGGGTCCTATTAATTCTGTACCTGACCGTTTGGCCTCCCCTATTGAGGAACCTGTTGTGGAGCCACAAAAGCATACTTATGCCTCTATTGTATGTGATTACATCTAAACCTTGCAATGTCATGTCAATGGTTGCCCATATATGTTTAAACTAATTACGTGTTACATTATGATTGGAAGTTACAGGTTGCTAAAGGGCAATCTGCTCCAGCTGTGCCATCTCAGTTTTCTTTTAACAAGTCCACTCCTTCCGAGTGGCAGCATGTACCTGAACCTTCCACCCAGCCATCAGCTGCATCATCAAACCCAGCTGAAAGGTCTGGGATGGACACAGTGGACGAAGCATCGGCCATGGCAGATGATGGTAACTTTCTCCCATATAACTTTTCGTTATCCACGTTTCCATGCCTTGTTTAATAAATGTCTATATATTGATTGTCATATAAAGCTTTGCAAATTTGGGAATATCGACTAATATGTCGATGTCAATAAAAAATTAGGGGATCTTGCACAAAATTGTGGTAATTGATGATAAAGTGTTAGAGATTTTTCGTGAAACTTTGTCAAGCAATCAAATGACGTACAATAACATGTTCATGCATAAATGCCTCTACATATGTATAGCCTCCAATTATGTAAGATCTAGCTCTCAAATACAGCTAAACACAGGAAATATCCACTTACGGTTACAGCTGAGTTATTGTTCATAGTTTGTCTAAAATCACATTACTACCAGTCGAATCTCCTTTAGTTATTGACAGAATTTTACTTTCCGTCCGACATTTATTATCCATAGTTGAAGTAAAGTCCGTGTATGTGAGAAATGTGCCGACCACAATGGCTGCTTCTGAAATTGCGGAGGAATTCAAGAAATTTGGTAAACTCAAGCCTGATGGTGTGGCCATAAGAACGCGAAAGGTATGTTCTTTTGTTCTTTTTGGCTTGCTCATTTTTATGTAATTTCACTTTTGCTTCATATAAGGTCAACTTCTGTAATCTTACACTTCAGAAGTGATGCAGGATATCGATGTGTGCTATGCATTTGTTGAGTTTGAAGATATCTCTGGGGTGCAGAATGCAGTTAAGGTGAGATCCTTTATGAGAATTTGTGAATCCTTCTTTTTAAATTCTTTTGTCAGTTTTATGTATTTGTACAATATTTAAACAATATTTAAACAATATGTGACATGTATTCTTAACTTGCTTGCAAGATAAACTGTCTTGTTTATGAATTTGCATGTATAGTCTCTCATTTCTTTTTTTCCTTATAGGCATCCATGGTTCAGATTGGTGGGCACCAACTCCACATTGAAGGACGGAGACCGAATAGAATCAACTTAACACGGGGAGGAAGTATGTATTTATTTTTCGGATTTAAAATTCTTTTAACTATAGATTTCAGTGCATTACATTTTTTCCCAAAGCCATTGGGTAGTACCTACCCTTCTTTTTGCGTCAATTATGACCTGTGCGAAGGTTGGATTATTTCTGCAAAAAAACAAATGACGAGCTAAGAATTTAGTCAGACTTCTTGATTGTAAAAAATCTGTATGAATATGCTTCTGACGACCATCAAACATAGGGTCTTCAAGTCTTTTTTCAAGGTTATATTGTTGTGGGCAGGAGGAAGGGGTAGAGGCAGGGTGAGCTACCAGATGGAAGGAATAAGGGGACGCTTTGGTGGTCGGGGTTTTGGCAAGGGAACCAATCACGATGGAAATGACCGCGATTACAGCAGATCAAGAGGAAATGGCTTCTATAGGCAAGCTCCTCGACGAGAAAGATCTTTCTCTGGCTACCAAGATGAATCAGTAAATGGGAAAGTGTCATCAGAATGAACAAACTCATCATTTTGATGCTTAGAGACAGTTTTCCAACAAGTAATTTTCAAAGATCACATTCATATTCGTAATTTTTCTGTTTCCAATATTATGGGAGTAAATTAATCATATGTGCTGGGAAGAGTCATTGTAATAGTTGTGTTTGGGTTATCTATCAGTAATTTTTGTTACATTTATATACTAATTAATGCAAATTTGTGCCCGAGGCATCTTTACCTCTTTAGGGCACAGCCTTGTTAAGAAAGCACAATCATATTGTTGAATTTTACTTTACTAGTGCTTTGATTAAATCTTGGAAAAGATCAATCGATGTCTTATGGTGTTGGCTCCTCAACACCCTCTTTACGATAAACACCAGTCCCAATTTAAATTTATCATGCAAGTTCAAGTGATTCTCGAATGCAACCTCCAGTCGTGCACGAGTAACTGTAGCCAAGTCGGGCCTCACTGCCTTTTCACTTCCTAAGTTTAACCCCATGATGAGAGCAAACACAAATATCAAATCGGACTATCTTCTCATCTGTTAACCCAAAATGCAACATGTCACCTTCAACTGGCTTAAGCAACCGAAGTAACTGGGCGTTAATGATTTTTCCAGAAAAATTGCAAGCCCCTCACGGGTATAGCTATCAAAGGCATGATCGACGCAAAAGACGTTTATGATCGTCATAGAGACCGTCCATCACAGTCTCAAAGCTCAAATAATTACAATTGCATGTAAACTTTCCCCGAGTGTTCTCTCAATTCAATGTCAAGAGCAGACTCCATGCTGCAATAGTTTATATAAGAAATAGTGGAACAATCATGCTATCATTTTCCCCCTTTCACCCATTTTTTCACATTCTTCAATTTTGATCATAAATAACATCACCCATCTGTTGGAAAATTATTAATTTATCATGTGGGTCTACATATATAATTAATTGTTTATAAATACTATCTTAGACTAAACCCATTTTAAAGTGATCTAATCAAAATAAAGTCATTGGTTTTTGGACATCGAAATAAAGTGTCAGTCTAAATATTTGTAGAGACCAAATTCCTATAAAATTGTATTTTATGATTGGCAAAATATATATGAAAATTATATATAGGGTTATGTTCTTTAATTTATATGTGATTCTAATTTTTCATATCATCCCATCAGTGTAAGAATACAAGAGAAACCATATTGAAGAGGAAGATCCAAAATCCACGATCAATATTAACAATCAAGAAGAATGAATTTAAGAATCAAGATTATGGATCAAGAAATAGAACCAAGAATAAGAATAAAAGGATCAAATGAGGCAAAATTTAAAATAAGTAAAGAAGCCAATGAAAGTCCAAGAACAACTAATCAAGAGCGGGGTGAATTGGTTATTTAATACTTTTTCGAAAATAAATGCAAATATAAGCAAATAACAATGAATAAACAAGATAACACAAATATAATAAAAGGAAGGGAAAAGAGAGTGCAAACGATGTAATAAGGAGGTTCGATCCAATTACGATCTACGTCCTCCGTTACCAAACTCTTCGTCACGAGCAAAGCATTTTTCACTATCTTTGATTGACTTATGGTGCAATCCAACCCTTACAATACTTCCGGTGACTTACAACTAAGGAGCACCGATCCTTTTACACGTTGAGCTTTTCGGGACCTCAACACGACCCACAATTCAATAAGCAAGAGAATCAAGATTACACTTGAAAAGCTTCTCTCTTAACAAATGATATAAATACAACGAAGTATTAAGAGAGAAGTAGGCACAATACCTCAATAGATCACAAAGAATATAGCTCAAGTATTGTGCGAAAAACTTTTTATCAAGATATAAGATGTTACAAAGTTACTTACTCAAAACCCTTTTCAACAAAAAAAATTTTGACTTCTTAAAGATTGAGAAATAAGGTAAATGAGATTAATAAGTAGCTTTCTTTAATGCTTTAAAATTCACACTTTTAAAAGTTAAAAAGTAAGGTATTTATAGCAATCAATCGAGAGATCCGGACACTTGATTCGGACGTCCTCTTGGTATCCGGACGAGTAACTAGCCGTTTGTCAAACGGTTAAAAAATTGACCGTTGGACATTTCATTCGGACGTCCGGAAGACACCATCCGACGTCCGGATGGCCATATTTAATTTTTTCATTTATTTGAAGAAAGTTTATTTAAAAATATTTTTTTTAACAGTTTTGTTATATACTTTTTATAGGTAAGTAATGTCATAAAGGTTTGATTGTGAAAATTGAATTACTTATCTTTTTGAAAAATAATTTTTTATGCAAGTCAGGTTTGTTATGATAATTCTCGTGCATGAAGGTTGTTTGAGCTATGATCGATGCGAAATATTAAAGTGTTTTAGCTTTACATTTGAGTATACAAATGCATCTAGTTAGTGTCTTCAATTTCTTCATCCAATGTAATTTGGTGTGTGAGACCTTGATTATCATTTCCTTGTACGTAAAACTTGTGTAATATTGTTTTGTACCAATGTTGCATGATTCTCGAACTAAATCTTTTCGTATCATAAATTTACAATAATCACTGTCAATCACTTAAATTCAATTTGTTTGTAATAATCAAAATAAGAAGTCAACCATCAAATCATCAGCCAAATATCAAAAGATTGCAGTTCAAGTTTCAAAATTCAAGATCTATTAATAAGGAATTATTTCCAATAAATGAAAGTATGTGCACTTAATAATTCTCTTGATGATTTGACATGAAAGATCTTGGTGAAAAATGAATTTAGGCTTTCAAATTTTAATGTTTCTAGTTTTAATATTTCATAAAACATTCAACAAGTGGTATCAGAATCAACTCCATATTAAACTATTGAAAAGAGAGAATTTTAGGCTTGGGATGTGAATTTTAGCCCTAATTTTTTTTTCCCTAATATTTTAGAAATGAAATTATATATGCTCCTGCCCGTCGATGGTCAAGATTCCTCATTGCTGCCACGTGAGAGTCCGAGCCGTGTCTCAGTTGTGGCTCAAAAAAAATCAGAATCTTTTTGGAATTTTTTTTAGAAAAAGTCAAACAAAACTAAGGGGCTGGAGTTGCAATTTTACTTGAATTAAGCAATTAAGATGTCAGGTATGCATCCAGTTTGCGGCGGCTGTCACTTCAATTTTGTTTTGCCTTCTTTTAGCAAAATTCGAAAAATATATCAAAATAGGGATATCAAATGTATCGAGCAATTTTAGCAAAATTTGAAAAACATATCAACATAGAGATGTCAAACGAATCGAGCAGTTCGTTGGGTCGATCGCTCTGCTCGTGGGTTGCTTGAACTCGTCAAATGACAAGCCGAGCAAGGCTGATTATGTCGAGCTTGTGGACTCGTAAAAACTGTGAAGAAAATTTTCCCAAAAAAAAAATAAAAAATTCAAGCTCGTGGGCTCGACTCAGTCTCGTAAAGCTCGTGGCTTGTGAACTCACAAGCTCGTGGGGCCGGCTAGGTCTATTGCCAACTCTATATGAAAATAGCAGAATCGCTGCTAGGTAGTAAAGACAGGGCTGCCAGATCTGACATCCCAACATCAGATTCTAGAAGCTGCAGGGCCAAAGTTCTGTTAAATTATTTTTTTGTAAAAATAAAAATAAAAGATAAGGATTAAAGGACAATCAGTTTCAAATCTTAGCCCCTATTTGATTTTCATTCTTTGGCCACAAAATTGAAAAATATGACAGTTATTCATCACATAAAATCACCATATTTAACAATTTATCTCTTATGTAAGTCCCGTAATGACTATATTTTTCTTTTTCATTCTTAAAAAAAATGAAAATCAAATGTGGCCTTAGTATTTAAGGTTTCTTTCGGATTACTAATTTTTCAAAATAGATTAATTAAACCATGTTACCAAAGTAACATCTTTTGTCTAAATTAATTTATTTGAAATGTTGTGTGCACATAGTTCATGTAGGTACTGACCGATTTAAAGGAAGGTCAATATTTTGTCGAATTATTTGTACATCTATAGTAATAAATATGTGATAATTATAAGGTTTCTTTCTCTTTTTTTATTTTTTAATGTGAACATTGAGTCAATTCAAAGATAGACTTAACATTTGACATGATTTATTATCAAAATTTGATTACTACACCAAGAATACTACTTACAAATTGATATTCTGTCTAAAGACTAAATGTTAATGTTTTGCCCAATCTTTTGTGATGTGGTTCACCATTATATGAATTTATTGATTGCTCAATATGGATTTCCATGTGAACATATTAAATATGTTTATGTTCTATTAAGTTAATTCATCAATTCCTACAATAATTGTCAACATCAATTTAATTCCCGTGCTTAAATCAAAATATAAGGGCTAGAGAGATAATGTTCGTATCATTCTTAGTGGCATGGATCTAGACATTGCGTTAAAGACTGAACAACCACTAATCTTATGTATAAAAGTTTCGCTAATAAAAAGGGACTCGAATAAGTGAGATCGTTCAAAATTCGTAAGTCTTGTAATTATGAAACGTGGAATTCTAGCAATATTCAGGAGCCCTGTGTCCGATAAGGTAACTACTAGCTAAAAATTTCTTAAAGAAATTGAAAAACGTTTTGCAAAAGGCGATAAGGGCAAGACTAGTACACTTCTAGCGAACTTGGTTCCATTAAAATATAAGGGTAAAGAAATCATATGAGAGTACATAATGGAGATGTCTCATCTTACTTTAAAACTAAAGATATTAAAGCTTGAGTTGTTTGATGACTTGCTCTTGCATTTAATTTTAATTTCTATTCCTGCAAAATTCGGCTAATTAAAGGTCAATTACAACTGTCAGAAGGGGAAGTGGACTCTCGATGAACTCATTTTATATTGTGTGCAAGAAGAAGAAATGCTATAGTACGAGAAAATTGAAAGTACTCACTTGACAAGTACCTCTAAGTTCAAGTTAAAAAATGAGGAAGCTGTATCTGGTGCAATTCAAAAATAATAGCAAAATCTAAAAAAGGATTAATCATTGCGTACTTACGTTTGTGAAAATCTAGCATACATAAAGAGGTACTATACCGTGCTTGATGTGTAAAAAAAAGTACACTTCACGCTTTGGTTTGTTTTGAGGAATTTAATTTCAGTACATAGACATGCTTAGTGGATAAATTTCGGTATAACCATTCAAATAAGCATGTGTATGTGGAATTGTCTGAACTGGTTAAAGCTAAGTGATGCTGAAAGATTCATCTATTTAGGAACTTTTAGGTTATTATTAAAGACTGATTATTATTTGAATATGAAAGAAATA